CTTTTGTTGTTACACTTTCTCTGTTATAACAATTGTATTGGCAGTAATCATTAGTTTTTACAAAGTTATATTTTATGTAAACAATGCACATATATGCAATAAATGATTATTAGATATGGATTATATATTTGCTATGGCCCTCGTTTGTGCATCACTTAAAAGTAATTTTATCAGACCTAAATGTATTAACGTGTGTTTGCTGATGAGAGAGAAACATCCATTTATCTATAATAATAACTGGAACATCCATTTATCTATAATAATAACTGGAACATCCATGGATCTATAATAACTGACACATCCATGGATCTATAATAATAACTGACACATCCATGGATCTATAATAATAACTGACACATCCATGGATCTATAATAATAACTGACACATCCATGGATCTATAATAATAACTGACACATCCATGGATCTATAATAATAACTGACACATCCATGGATCTATAATAATAACTGACACATCCATGGATCTATAATAATAACTGACACATCCATGGATCTATAATAATAACTGACACATCCATGGAAACATTAACAGACATCTGTAAAATGGAGTTGAACACAGATGTTTGACACTGTTCTTATTCACTTTTATATCTCTTGAAAAGCTAACAGACCGTTACTAATCACATTTGAGTTTAATGTATTCAATTATAAGTATAAGTATAAGTACTGCTGACAAATATGTAGTTGTGTAAATAATACCTCACTTTGATGACTCTTTACATTTCACACAAACAACAAAATCATAATAAAACCAACAAGTTTGATTTGTTTTCTTTATTTCCAGGTTCCTCTGAAGTGCTGTCGATGAGACCTGTGTCAGAGGCAGACGCCCAGGACTCTGCTGCTGCTCCTGCTGCTGCTGCTCCTGCTCCTGCTGCTGCTGCTCCTGCTGCTCCTGCTGCTGCTGCTACTCCTCCTGTTGCTCCTTCTGCTGCAGCTGTTACTCCTCCTGTTGCTCCTTCTGCTGCTGCTGTTACTCCTGTTGCTCCTTCTGCTGCTGCTGTTACTCCTCCTGTTGCTCCTGCTGCTGTTGCTCCTTCTGCTGTTGCTCCTTCTGCTGCAGCTGTTACTCCTCCTGTTGCTCCTTCTGCTGCAGCTGTTACTCCTCCTGTTGCTCCCTCTGCTGCAGCTGTTACTCCTCCTGTTGCTCCTTCTGCTGCAGCTGTTACTCCTCCTGTTGCTCCTTCTGCTGCAGCTGTTACTCCTCCTGTTGCTCCTTCTGCTGCAGCTGTTACTCCTCCTGTTACGCCTCCTGTTGCTCCTTCTGCTACATGTCTTGATGCAGAGCCCACTGTTCTAACTATTCATGATTGCTGATTAAAGGAAAATATTATATACAAGTTTGTTGTAGTTCATAATGTGGTGATGAGGTGATGGAGGTGAAGCAGGAGGTGATGGAGGTGAAGCAGGAGGTGATGGAGGTGAAGCTGGAGAAATTATGACCTTAATTTCACCACAAGTCTCTGAAAAAGAAGAACACAAACATCATGCATTAAAACACAGCCCACATTTAGGATTCTTTTTACACTTCATATTCAATTAATACTATTTATTTGGGGCTTTGCAAAAAACTGGTTAAAAATAAAATACAGAAATCCTTACAGTATTTAATATTAGCGATACAAGTTTCACAGCAGGGGAAACAGAAGAATGATATGATAGAAATATACACAAATAATCAAGTTATGAGCATGGCTAACCACTTTAAACCTGTGTTTGTGGAAGTGGGACCTTGTCCTCTGCAAATGTCTTATTAATGACAAACGAAACCTCTGTATAATGTGTGTTTACTATTTATTAGACTATTGTATGAAAAGGGCTTTATAATTATTCTTGGCCTATTCTATAATTTCATATGTCTAATATATACAGTTTTCCCAGTCTCAGTGTGGGATTAAAAACTATATGCACAATCTATTTTATATGAATACAGAAAACATGTGTTAGCATACTATAGCTGCTGTGCTGCAGAGTGATTTTCCATGAAAACGTGACTTTCCTCAGTGTAGCTTTAATATTTAATCAGTGGGTTTGTTTCTCCCTAAAAGATAAAACACAACATGATTTTTCTTGTTCAAAAACCGAATCTGAATGAACTAGCCTCGTAGCATTAGCTTTTCGGGACTGAGCTTATTTACAGCAGATAACAAGGTTAAATACACACATCTGTGGCAGATCTAACTTATGTCTGTGTTTTATCATAACAGTCGTGTTCATAACTCAACAGTAAAGTATAGCAGTACTTACTATAGACATAACTTCACAGTAAAGTATAGCAGTGCTTACCATAATGTTAGCTCCAGCAGGTCCGAGCTGTTGTTTACATGTTAATGCCGAACGGAGTTCTGCGCATGCGCGGCCGTGACTTGGCAAAAAGAAGGCAGTGAAGCATACATCAGATGCATCCTTCATATCTGCTCCAAAAGTGGCCGTTTCCATAGAGACGAAGTCATGATGCCTACGCTTGGCGAGCTCGCCAAGTGGTTTTGGACACCCCTGCAATAGCCGTTGCTTGCGGAAGTGACATCACGATGCCTACATATCCACCCTACGCGGCCCGATGCCTACCGTTTTGGACACAGCCAATGAGTGACCAGAGTACTTAATATTCTCCTCATCTGGACCTGGTCTCAGACATACATACTTTGGACTTTGTAAACTGTTGGTTTTTGCACTTTCCTTCTGTTTTTAATAAATCTGTGATTGTATCCCAAGACTGTATTTCATTCATTTTATAAAGGATTGTGGCAAGTCTAAATCTGTATCCGGTTAGCCCCTTTGCGCTCTGTTTGCATTAACCTTTCCACGTATTAATCTACAACAAGCTAACTTTGTAATCACTCTGAATCAACTGTATTGTAGCTGAGGTTTGGGTATCGGTTGTTTGTCTGGTCTCGGAGTCTGCTGTACTGGACCTGGATCCGGACTAGCCTAGCCTAGCCTAGCCACTAACTCGCTACCCCTATGGCGGTTTCTGTCGATTCTTTACTGCTCGAGTTGCCATATGGCGAGTTTAAACCGAACTCTGAAAATGAACTCTGCATGATGAGCTGCAGGCGCGACAGCGCTCTGGACAGGAGTTCCCACTTCCAGCGGCTGTGATCACGGCGAACGGCGCCGCGTAATGGGATCATATCCAAGACCACGCAAAGAACTATTACAGAACTATTCTCTAGTGTGCGCACGTGTCTTTGCGTAACCGATGCACACAATATGTACAGCGCTGAAGCTGGACTGCGGAGCCTCAGTCTCCTCCGTGTCTTCTCCCGAAGCGCACTCGCTAAATTAAAGCTGAGGTACCTAATTTTCCTTTCGACCATCAGTTCATGTTAGTTGTGCCAAAAAAAGTAATGGTGTGAGCAAATCAAAAAGATTTAATGACATTCTGCATTTCAGACTATTTTGAAATGTCCCTCATCTGTAACAAACAATGGTTTTGGTCTGAGTCTAAACAGAAAGACAGAATGTTAATAATGTTACAGTAATTCCATTTTATATGGATTTATTATTATAACAAACAAATACAGTACATATGTTCACTAAGCTGTCATTTATCTTTCCATTAAAACAACAATTTACAGAAAAATATGGCATATTTTTGCCAATAGTTTGAAATGTGATTAATTACGATTAATTAATTTTTCAGCTGTAATTAACTTGATTAAAAAAAATTATCGTTTGACAGCCCTAATAATTACCTCACTGTGAGGTCACAGAATGTCAGGTTAGGGAAGAGTGTGTCTGGGACTGTTGTAAGCAATACAGGAGCACCACAGGGTACTGTTCTGGCTCCCTTTCTCTTCACAATTTACACTGCAGACTTTGCCATGTAAAAAAATACTCTGACGATACCGATGTTGTGGCATGTGTGAAGAGGGGGGGGGAGGTTGTGGCTGCCTTCTCAGACTGGAGTGAGAGAAATGGACTGATTCTCAATGCATCGAAGACCAAGGAGATGATCATCAACTTTCACAGGAGCCCTTCCCATCGACCAGTCACAGTAAATGGACAGTACATCGAAGTGGTTCACTCCTATAAATATCTGGGAGTCCACCTGGACCACAGACTGGACTGGTCAGCTCAGGCCTATGCCATCTACAAGAAAGGTCAGAGCAGACTTTTCTTTCTGAGTAGACTGAGGTCTACTCAGAAAGAAGAGGGCAGGATGAGGAGAGAAGGATGAGGGCTCTAATGCAGGGCATCCTGGGTAACTCCAGACACCCTCTGCATGACACTATGGCTGCTCAGAGGAGTAATCGAAGCAACAGGCTCCAATCACTATGCTGCCGAACGGAACGTTTCAAGAGATCCTTTGTTCCTTTGGCTGTCAGACTGTACAACAAACCTGACTGACTGTACAACAGAAAAAGATACTTCTGCTGCTTCACACCTGAATTTCTCCTACGGGGGATCAATAAAGTATATATCTATCTAACTATATATCCATCTACTGTATCTACAAACTGTGGATGTATTATATTATGTGGAGGGTATTGCTGCCTAAACCCGTCTCCACATGAACAAGGGGCCACCCGAAGCACTCCAATCCAAATCTAATGGGCTTATACCTCAGTTTTAACAAAAATGGCTCGTCCTCAAACAGGGAACCTACAGGTTTCATAAAGGAGGATTTTGTGGGGATTTTAGTGTCTCTTGTCATGCTGAAGGGATGAATTTTGGAATTAATTGGTTTTCTCTGATCAGCGCTACTCTGATTGGTCAGAACGCTCACGTATTACTCTGGTCTTTCGGCTAGTGCAGAACACGTCACTTCTGGCAATGTTTGGGAGAAGAACATTAGCATGGTGCAAACGTTAGCCTTAACATGTTGAGAACATTAACAGGGTGCGAACATTAGCCAATGAGCACAGGCCATTGAACTGAATGGGTAGACATCTAGGAGACCCAGGGCTTGGTATGAACTCAGTAAGTGTTTGTAGTACATTTTCCTGCTGGATTTGGTGTGGCTGCTGTGACTTACGTGTTTTTGTAAAGTGCTTGATGGTGACGTGGTCGATGGGGAAGTAGCTCACGGTGGCCTGGTATTCTGGGCACATATTTGCAATCGTTGTGCGGTCGGGAACAGAGAGCTGACTGACTCCGGGTCCAAAGAACTCCACAAACTTCCCGTCAATCCCAGCCTGACGCAAGTGCTACAACGTAATACTGAAGGTTAGCTTAGAGGGAAACAAAAAATATTCAAATACAATATATCATGCATTAAAGTGATAGTCTGGAACTCTAAATGAAATAAAAAAATTAAGAATTGTATTAATTTGACCTCCTGGCCTTAAAAGTTGATATAAAATTTGCCATTTTATGATTTCTAATATTACGGTTAAGTCCCGCCTTCCCTTCTATTAGCTATATCTCAAAATCCACGATGCCATCCACTTTAACCAATCAAGTGATGCCAAGGGCTGTCAATCATCGGCACTCATGCTCGTAGATGCGCGCATGCTCAGTTGTTTGTTTTCACGGAGCCTCCGAATCAAGCCTCCATCAGGCTCTGGAACTACATGAAAACTGAACAAAGAATTCTGAACGTCCCCCCATTTATATACTGAACATACTGTATATCCATAATCAGATCCTCTGCAGATGTGTCCTATAATGTTTAATTAATATTAATAGATACTTCCGGGTTTACCGCGATCGCTTTTTTGTGCATTAAAACATTATTGTTGTCATGAAAACGTTAACAGATAATTCTGAAAACCTCCGTGCATGTGTATTTATAATGTATATGTATAATGTATTCTCCGATTAACATTTAAATGTGTTGATTGATTCTTACGGAAACGTAGGCGAAGACAAATCAGAAAGAAAGGGGGAGGGAGCTTGGGTCGTTTTTTTTTTCAATTCATGTACCTCTCTCTCTTTTTTCTGACAAACTCCAGACAATCCCTTTAAAGCTAGAGTACCTAACTTTTAAATATTACATGGTGTTTGTCTCAACAATCAGAATCAGAATCATTTTTATTGCCACGTAAGTAACAAAAGTTACCACTTGGAAATTGTTTTGGCAGAGAGCGTGCCACTTCGCCATTTGCGGCGCTGTGTGCAGCAAGAACAGCAGAGAGCAATAACATACAGTTTCACAGACAATTGGATAGACACATTGTGCTTTGTATAAACCACAGATTTTTTTCTCGGGATGAGCACCTCCGACTGCCGGCCCAATGTGGCTGTCAGAGGGGGGCAGGGTCAGGTAGGGGGTGAGCCAGAAAGACAGTGAGGAGTGGAGGGGAGGGAAGGAGCAAGATGGATAGGTAGAGGGAGGCGGGGGGAACGGGAGTTGTCTGTCGCAAAAAAGACAAAAACAGGAGATAGCAAGCAGTCAGAAGCAGGAGCGGTCTGAGACACGTCTTTGCTCAATGGAGGCGGAAGGAAGAGTCATGTTAAAGTAAAATGTGTGTTAATGTTATCTTTTGAAAGGAAAGAGCCTTGTGAGGTACTATATAACTGTTTGGGTTGAAAGCTAGCTGGCATTTAGTTTTTCTGTTCTGAAAACGCTGATCGAAAGATGTGACAGAGATCAGAAATACATGCATGTGAAAACTGGGACTGAACTGTTTTTAGAGTGCAAAACTAGTGACAGGGATTGGTTTTTCTTTATGTTTTGTGATTTCAAAGTGAAGTACCACAGCTTTAATTATAATTGAAAAACAAGGTTGAAAAGAGCGCGCTTAGACAGTAGGGGCAGGTTTGTGCCAGAAGATGTAAGAATGAATGTAGCCAAAAACAACTCCAGGTCTATTTTTGACAAGGAAATAGATGTAGTAATGTGGTTTCAAAAGAAGATTTTGTGTCTGTGGAGTTGGTTGGAAAAATTGATGAAACTAATTTATTTGTCATTTCATGATTTAGATGATGAAACAATATCTATAGTAGAAATATGTATGGTGAAACAAGTATGAAGGGTATGTGTTTTTCTCCCCCAAATTTTAAAGATACCGGCTGCATTTACCTTAGTGATGCCCAGAACGATGTCTATGGAGGTAGCCAGTGGGTGGATAGAGCCCTCCAGTTTACAACCCACGACCCGGGGTAGAGTGAGGGCCACGGGCTGCCCCAACATCACCGCCTCAGACTCGATCCCCCCAACACCTGACAGAGAAAATATCATTCGGTCAAACAAGAGCAGAGACAAACTCATGTTAAGACTACAATAAAAAACTCTATAATTACAGCTGTCTTGGGGTGAATTTGAATTTATTCCCCTTCCCTGACACCTTCATGGAAGGGGGCCTTAAGACAATTATCTTAAGGCCTCTATGTCCTTCTTGACCCCCCTTTGACTAATCGCAGGTGACCTTAGCCATGATGTCATCTTAGTTATATATGAACTAGGCGTTCCTTCTTCTGCTCTTCTCTCTATGCTCTGACACGCGGCCTGGTCACGTGAGGTAGGCGGTAGGCCCTTGGCAGAGGCCTCCCCTTTCTCCCTCAATCCAATCCAACATCTCTTTTTGTATGATTATCCTTTGTTTATGCCTGTATGTACTTTGTAACTTTGTTTTAGTGTCATTTAATTTGTACTATACATTACCGTGGAAACCTATATTATTTTTGCTCAAAGACTTTTGAATCCCTGAACATGTAAGAAAACTTGCCAAATTTTGCCAAAAATTAAGAACCGTTTTTTTAGCCACGAAAAACGGTACCCATATTTGTCAACTCAAGACATGAAAACAAAAGTTATTATGGCCACAATCCCTGACAAACTGGAAGCCCATTAATTACAGTGGAAAATGAAAAAATTAAAATTGATCATTTTTACATGTCGATTGGAAATCAACTCCGCCTTAACTGATTCACAGATTTGGCTCAAAATCGCTCCAGACATACATGTGTACAAGTTAGGGATGTAAAACTATGAATTTTTATGACCGGTTGAAACCGGTTAACCGCGTAGTATAAAATATTCCAAGTTCTTTGAAATAACAGCCATTTCGAGCCGTGTACTTTTCATAAGTGCAGCTATGCATTCTACTGGATCAAAGCCGAGACAGCGGCGCCAAAACCAGCAACAGCTTCGGCACCTTTGCGGACTGAGAACTGCTTTGATTTACATCCCTAGTACAAGTCCCACATCAAAAAGAGACTAACATTATTTTAATTGGGTACATGTGGTCTCAAATGATTCTTATTACAATTAAGCTTTAATCTTCAAATAACGGCTTGTTTTTAAGCAATCTGTCATAGAATGTAATATTATATAGCTTAATCCAATACGCATCTCTCCCGGCCTCGAACCCGGGTCACTGTGGTGAAAATGCTATGACTCCAGGCAGCCACTCAACGCAGTTTTGCATCACACAAAAAGTTTTTATCCGCCTTCTCAATTTTTCAAAGGTGTCCCAATATAAATCCTCGTTTTAGTCTTTGTTTTGTCATTAATGATTTGTGAGTTATAACAAGACCTTTTTTTAGTTCTGCGGCCACATGTTATTTTACCAGTGAGATTAGCTAGCTGGTAATCTCAGCGGTGAGTTCTGGCATGGATCAATTATGGCAACGCGGATGAACACAATAATAATGAAAACAATAACAACTTTTACGGGGCGTAAAACTAATTTTGATATTAAAATATCTCGGCTGAACTACTGTTATCAGTTAAAGATGTATTCAAACAGAACATGATTTAATAATGCCTTTTTGAAATATTGGGAACGTTTAATGATGAAAATAATAAAAATTGGACCATTAGCACCCCGTTCAGACTATGTAATAGTTTTACAAGGGGAGAATGATATTTAGTTTTTTCAAAATGTTGCAAATAATTCATAATTGACACAGTAGTTCAACTCCTGGGCCTAGGCTCTGCTTGTGTACAAGTCTCTCCATGGCCTTGCACCAGAATACATTAGTGACATGTTGGTGTCATATGAACCGGCCCGGACTCTGAGGAGCACAGGGACTGGCCTCCTGCTGGTGCCCAGAGTGAGAACCAAACATGGGGAGGCTGCGTTTCAGATCCATGCAGCTAAGATCTGGAACAATCTCCCTGAAAATGTGAGGGAGGCGTCTACTCTGTCAATGTTCAAATCCAGGTTAAAGACTGTTCTGTTTGCCTGTGCATACAACTGAAGGATTTTATCTCCATTTCTAATGCACTGCTGTCATTTATTTATTTTTTTTAAATTTCTTGTGTAATTTTGAAAGTTTTAATGGTTTTATTCTTTTGTGTGATTTTAATGTTTTAATTGTGATTCTGGTGTTTGTTTTATGTGATGATTTGTGATGTGGACTGTGAAGCGCTTTGTGTTGCCCTGTGTATGAAAGGCGCTCTACAAATAAACTTTGATTGATTGATTGATAGGTCACCTGAAAGTGTGAACTTTTACTCAGCCCCTTACAGACTGATTAAAAGTTTTACATGGGGATAAAGGTATTTAGTTTTTCTGTCATATCATGTCATGTCATCATGTCATTTTCTACCCCTTTATTATTCAATTTCTGGGTTGGGGGGGTGGCAATCAGAGCTGCCACCCAGGTCTCAATGCACCAGTCCCTCGCTGATCCTCCTGCAGGTGGTGCAAACGGGATGATGGCTTCTCCGTGATCGAAGACATGGCCTTGGTCTTTCAACGGGGGCTTCAGGCAATGTGGCAATTTTAAGTGTCTTACCCAGGGACACAACGACAGCATCAGTGGGAGCAGATGACATGAGTCGCGGTGGGCTCGAACCCACGATCATTATAGTTGTTCTGTTTGATCTTATATTTGACCCACTGAACAAACATGAAAACTCAACAAATTGTAAGTTCTGTTCCAGCAATTTATTTTTTTTTATTATTATTGTTTTGATGTTCTTTGGTGTAAGACAAAACATTTATTTGTAGGCACTATTGTGCAAACTTAAAGCTGCACTAACTGACTTTGGGATTTTGAAGCCGTGGACCCGCTGGCCTCTCTCTTTCTGCTCCCCTCCCCGCACCCACTTAGCTATCTCCCCCCACACACACCCACTGTTGTTGACGGAGCTAGAGTCTCCCAATATGGATAATACATGGATATGGATTTGAACCGGTAGAACCGGGAAGTGCGGAGGAACGCGACTTTCTTTTGGATGGCTGTTTCGCTGAGTAGGCAGTAACCGGTGACAAAGACGAGGAAGCTTCAGGTTAGCTCCTCGGCTTGTTGTGCTAACTCAGCCGTCTATGCTAACGGACCTGTAGATTTCTCACGAAAGTGGGGGCTAGTGGTCCGCTGTGATTGGTCACAATCAGAGACCCGAAACACATTCTCTTCCTTGTTTCATCAAAACTCGATCTAAAATATAATGTCACGCCAGCACAAACCTGCGCTACTTTTTCTTCAAAAGGACGTATATCCCAATGCGTACTACAATGTACTACATGGACATGGATAGCATTTTCGTAATGAATACAAAAATAAAGTCAGTTAGTGCAGCTTTAAGTAAATGCCCCCATTTGCACATACAAAGTCAGATTGGCACAACATTTGAATTGGTTGTTCAACTCGCGGGTTTGGGTAAACTCAAAGTGTAAAACCTGAGTCAAGTTTTACATGAAGAGAATGATATTAAGTTTTTTTAAATGTTTGAAATATTGCAAATAATTGGCTTATTTTTTTACCCTGTTGTATAATAATAAATCATACTTATAGTGGGGTTTTTTGACAGTAAAAAAAACAGAGGGGCCGGTTAATAAGAAAAAAAAAAGAAAAAAATCTAAAATAAACACTTATGTGTAGGCAGTTTTGAACAGGTGAGGTTTGAGGTGTGCGAGAGAATTCAAGAGAGTAGGGGCAGCGAGGGTTCAGTCCCCAAAGGTTTGGCTTTGTTCTTTCACTTATTTCAAATTCTCAAGTCGATTTTTATCAGACCACCACAGCCTTTTGGAAACATGAAAGTCCTGGGTCTGGACCACATACCCCAGCCGAGGATGCCTAGTCCGTTGATCATGGTGGTGTGAGAGTCTGTTCCCACCACGCTATCGGGAAACATGAAGCCGTCTTCGAGCTGCACGACACGGGACAGAAACTCCAGGTTCACCTGATGCACAGCGCCCACGTCTGGAGGAACCACATTCACGTTCTTAAAGGCCTTTGAGCACCACTGGAGGACAAGGAGGAGGAGTTATCAGAGTGGAGTCATAAAGGAGAACAGAGGAGACGGGCAGAACAGAGTTGAGCTGGGTCTGAAGGGTCATGGTGGATATTTAAGGAAACTCCAGGTATGTGTCAAAATGCGTTGTCAACCCAGGACACCTGAGGGAAAGGATAGCTTGTTGTTTAGACCCGTGTTTAGAATTAGAATCAGAATCCGTTAATTGCCATGTGAGTAACAAGAAGTTGGCCCTTGGTGCAAACTAGTTAAAAAATAGAGAATAAAATAAAAATCTACATCAAGTTTCCTAAAATTACTGCTATATATAAGTCCACTAGGTGCACACAATAGACATTAAGCAGTGTAGTAAAGCAAGGACACCAGCCTGCCCACCTCCCTCCTGTAGGCGGATGAGTCTACCAGAGGGTGGTGAGTCCAAAGAGTGTGGCAAAGGGTCAAAACAAACACAACTTTCAAAAGAAGTCTTTGAAAGTCGCAGCACAGGGCACCCAGGACCAGAGAGAGACCAAAGAGAGAGAACAGAGAGAGAAATAGAGACAAGTCCCCCAAAATTATACTGGTATTACCACGAATGGTAATATATTTAGCTCTAGTTCTGACACACCAGCCTGTGTTGCTCATTGTGTAAGGATGAGGCGACCTGGGTGTTGTAGGAAAAAATCTTGTATTCTTTGGGCTGGAGCTTTTACAGATGTTTCCTCTAAAAACTAGTTCAATTATTACGGATTCCATAAATCAAAATAATGATTACCATTTTATTAGATTAGTACCTTAAAAAACTGTAGCCTCTCTTTGTTTCTGGATAGCTCCATTTCCTGATTTTTCACTGCAGTTTCAGGTCTGTAAAATATAAAAAAATAACAGACGCAGAGGAAATGCCTTATTCACACCACTATGTAAACATAGGTTATGATTCACTGCTGTGTGACTTACTCAGACACCGGCTTGAGGTGGAATGGGCAGAGGAGCGGCGTGTTCTCAATCTGCTGTACGGAGACTGGAGGAGCTCCGCGGGAGAAGGAGGGGTCACTGCATAAAGCCTTCACACACGAGCCTCTCTGTCCCCCACACTGAGATCCGGACTGATGCTGAGGTCTGGAGCCACGAGCGGAGCCGTCCCCTCCACCAGGATTTGGAGCATTCTGAATGGTACTGAGAGAAAGAGAGCATTACAGTTGTATACAACACATTAGAGCCCTGCACGGGCCTATTATCTGGGCCCCAGCCCGGCCCTGGCCCGAGGGGGTGGCGCCCCAGCCCGGCCCGGCCCGATATGGTTTCTGAATTTTCAGGCCTGAAAGAAAAGAAAAAAAGTCTTTTTTCTTTTCTTTTTTTACCTCCCATAACAATGTTATAGCCTATTATAAAGCGCCGCGCACTGATATGAACACAGGCTTGGCTAGAGGGCGGAGTTTTACATGGTAGTGATGTGTTGCAATGAGTTCTGTGAGTGCAGAGTAAACGGCCGCAGCTGTATGCCGCAATGACAACACTACACAGAACAACAAACACTACAGTGTGATAGAACGCTATATTCAGTGGGTGCGTTCGTAAACGGGGTGGTGCGGTGGAGATCCGCTTGGTGTGGGGCGGCGCGGTGGAGATCCGCTTGGTGTGGGGCGGCGTGGTGCGGGGCGGCGTGGTGCGGGGCGGCGTGGTGCGGGGCGGCGTGGTGCGGGGCGGCGTGGTGCGGGGCGGCTTGGTGCGGGGCGGCTTGGTGCGGGGCGGCTTGGTGCGGGGCGGCTTGGTGCGGGGCGGCTTAATGCGAGACGGCTTGGTGCGAGGCGGCTTGGTGCGGGGCGGCTTAATGCGAGACGGCTTGGTGCGAGGCGGCTTGGTGCGGGGCGGCTTGGTGCGGGGCGGCTTGGTGCGCGCGGTGCGGCGAGGGCTGTTGGACGCCGCTTGCGGCTTTAATTTTATTTACTTTCTCAATTCAACTCGGATACTAGGGGTAGTGGTTTCTATGGATGCCAAAAAGGTGTTTGATAGATTTGATAGCTCTCCCAGCTCAACGTGCCCGATTCCACCTGCAGGTGGATCACTGACTTCCTGACGGACAGGAAGCAGCGAGCGCGTCTGGGGAAGAATGTCTCGGACTCTCAGATCAAAATGGTTTCATTAAAGCTGCACTAACTGACTTTATTTTTGTATTCATTACAAAAATGCTATCCATATCCATGCAGTGCATTGGGATATACGTCCTTTTGAAGAAAAAGTATCGCAGATTTGTGCTGGCGTGACATTATATTTTAGATCGAGTTTTGATGAAACAAGGAAGAGATGTGTTTCGGGTCGCAGATTGTGACCAATCACAGCGAACCACTGGCCCCCACTTTTGTGAGAAATCTACAGGTCCGTTAGCATAGACGGCTGAGTTAGCACAACAAGCGGCGGAGCTAACCTGAAACTTTGTGTGTCTTCGTCACCGGTTACTGCTTACACAGCGAGACAGCCATCCAAAAGAAAGTCCCGTTCCTCCGCGCTTCTCGGTTCTATCGTTCTATGGTCACACCATCCACGTGAAAATCCATGTCCATGTATTGTCCATATTGGAAGACGCTAGCTCCGTCCCAACAGTGAGTGTGTGTGGGGGGCAATAGCTTCGTGGGTGCGGGGAGGGGAGCAGAAAGAGAGAGGCCAGCGAGTCCGCGGCTTCAAAATCCCAAAGTCAGTTAGTGCAGCTTTAAGGGCCGTAATTCTTATTATAACACCAGACGCTTGTTTAATTTTTTTATTTACTTTCTCTATTCGACTCGGATACCAGGGGTAGTGGTTTCTATGGATGCCAAAAAGGCGTCCATATGTTTGAAATACTGAGGAGATTCGGTATTGGACAAAATGTTGTAAATTGGGTCAAACTGTTAAATAAAGCACCTACAGCATCGGTCCTAACCCATGGTCTGTTGTCCCCACCTATTGATTTGAACTCTCAGTCATTCACCAGACTGCCAAGGAAAGAATACTTTAGTTTGATAAATGACCGGATCTCTCCAGACGTCTCGGGCATTTGACAGTCGCGTGGTGGCGACTTGTAAACAAGACCACCGATTTGCCTCAAAATCGCTCCACATCATCTCAACACATGTACCTTCAAAATGACCAAAGGGATTTTTGATCAGTGAAACGTTGTTTGAGCAGCGGAGCGGCAAAATGTGAGTGTTTATTGGCCATTTTGGACAACAATAATTTTGCTCCCGTTTGCACAAAGTCTGATTTGCACAAAACTTGAATCCAATGTTCAACTCCAGGGTTTAGGTCAGGTGAAAGTGAAATATTTGAAATTGGCCCATTAGCGCCCCCTACAGATTGAGGCAAAGTTTTACATGGGGTGCCAAACAGCTCTATTGGCCGTTTTGGACAACAATATTTACTGTTAAATAAAGCACCTACAGCATCGGTCCTAACCCATGGTCTGTTGTCCCCACGTATTGATTTGAACTCTCAGTCATTCACCAGACTGCCAAGGAAAGAATACTTTAGTTTGATAAATGACCGGATCTCTCCAGACGTCTCGGGCATTTGACAGTCGTGTGGTGGCGACTTGTAAACAAGACCACGTTCAGACGGGGCACCCTGCACAGAGGCTCTACTGAGTTTTACCATGGATCTATTATAATATATAGTTTTACAAACGCGGTGTGAAGAGAAGAGACACATGGAGGAATGACGTCTGTGAGAGCTTAAAACTACAATGATCAAAGAAGCAGGAGATATACTGAGCCGCGGCAGGACATGGCTAAAAGCTCATGTTAGCTTTAGCGTTCGCCACAGCGCCCTATCTGCAACAGAACATTCACTCACGCTGCTGATAAAGTATTCTGGAGATTGTTTTGTGGGGATTCTGTGTATGTTTTATTTGAGGCTTTGCCTGTGAATAAGTTTAGTTGAAACGTGTGACATAGTAGTTGGACTGTGCTCGGAAAAGGTCAGAACATCCTGAGACTGTGTTGTAGAGTCTGACTTGTTCTCAATATTGTAAGTGTGAAAAATGTTACGTATTTTTCACGTGTGAGTCTGTTGTGTACAAACTACACGATGTGCATCCTGTTGTGTTAATGCTGTCTTTCGGTGCGTGTGGTTTGCGATGTTGACACTTTGCTGCTATGACGCTGGACTTCTACATAATTATTTTTCTAAAAGATTGTTGTTTGGGTCGTTCTTTTACATAACTGTGGTTCTCCATGGTTCTTTTATATAACAGTGGTCCTCCATGGTTCCTTCTTCCAACTTGTGAATGCACACGATATCACTATCTCATGTGAAACAAAAATCCGATTTTCGCATCCTTTTTGTCCCTTATCCACCACTGTTTTCCAAGATGGCGCATCGTCATGGATAGTCCTCAGCTCTCATGGACACTAAGTTAAATTCTAAGCCTATGAATACAAGTCAAAAAACATGGTGGAGGTAAATATTCTTAAAAAGGTCATATTTGTTATTAGTGATGTTTTTTTCATATGGAGCAGCTGTAAAAACTACTGATAGTAGAGTTGTTGGATTTTCTTTAAAGTGAATTAGAATATATTCAAAGTTTAGACAGCTTTGGGTTAACCTACGTGTGTGATGGGATGGCAGCATTCTCCCATCCCCCCAGTCATGAGTGAAACACCAATAAGCAGGAAGCCGAAAACTTCTGTTTTCAGTAGATCTCATGTTTATTTAGAGGGAAGCCACGTCTTCTCTGAGGGAGAGGAAGGTGGGACATATTGTTGCATGTGTTTCAAATTATCATGGTATAAGACCAGAGCTCTTTGTCCATTCCTTGGTCACTCTGCTGCTACATCTAGCTGACCCAGACTGGTGCAGTCTGTAACATGTCTACGTGTGTGATGTCCAGAACACTGAGTAGTTTTTTCACATATTTTGGTCCTTCTTGCGCCGGATGCCAACATGCTTTTCTTCGGAGCTGAGGATGCCTCAAACATGGAGTTGGAGCAGCGGTGAGGCCTTCTTCATTCAGAACTGCTTTCAGGACTCCATCTTTGAGGCATGGCCAGTCTCCGGATTGAAGTTGACGGCAGAACTAGAGTTTCTGGACATCCACATGGACAAGGTAAAAAAAGTAACTAAATTTAAATTGTCTTTGAAGGCAGGTAATTCAATGTATCTCCTCAAAAAGCATTGGGGCAGTGAGATATCACGCACTTCTAAGAAAGTGGAGAATTTAAAAGGGTGAAAGTCCCCGATTGGTTAGTTCATCGGTACCAACAAAGCGACAGAATAGATGAAACTTCTATCCACTGGATGAATAAACATCCTCCGAGAAGAGAAAACAAATTCTGCACTATGGATGCATACGTGTAGTTGGAAAACCAGATCTGGCCATTTTCGAGGGAAAATGGAACATTTTGAGAGTGGTGATTTTTTCTTCAGCCGATTAGTGACTTTTTGGTAGAACTTTGTGGTAGCCTGCATAATAAGACGACAACAATTTTTCTAAATAATAATTTAAATTGGAAATTGAAATTTAGATATAAAGGCCTAAAGTGTGCGTGTGTATGTGCGTGCGTGCGTGCACGTTTGAGGTGCATCCCTTGTGTCCCCTTCTGCCTTTTCCCCTCTTCCCCCTCCTCCCTTTCTGCTGCTCCCTGTTCCCCCTCTTCCCCTCATCCCCCTTCTCCCTTGCTCTCAATTCTGTCCCTCCCGTCTGCTCAACTCTAGTTGAGTGGAGTAGTACGTTTGTTATAGTTAACTACTTTTGTTAATGCTAGCTACATTGACAAAAATAATTAAAAAGGGGTGGAACCAGTGATAAATATTTTACTGGTGAAAACATTTGGTAATGAGATTAGAGAATCATAGATAGATTTGAATTGACTTGAGCTTTAAAATGTTTGTGATTGGACAACTTTAAAGTTACAACATTTGGTACAAGCTCAAAAGGATTAGGCTGAAACTGAATTAGATTGATGATAAATAAGACTCAAAGTTAGCTCAGATTTTTGATTTTTGTTTGCTTATGATCACAAAAGCTGGTATTTTGTGCACACAAGTAGACTTTTATGTTTATTTTTGGGTTTGATTTGGAGTTTTTGTTTGTTTTGTGAGTAACTGTCTTTATGTGTAAGATTTAACAGACAAACATTTCCTCTTATGTGAGTAGTATTTGTTTGTTTGTTACTTCAGGTTTTGCATGTAAGTGTTTGTCTTCTATGTTTGGGACTTAACTGACTAAACTAACAGACTATAAGATGAATAGGAAAGGTGGGAAGAGAGAGCGAGAGAGGAGTCAGTTTCCGGAAGGAAAAAGAAAGGGTGATAGTAAAGATAGAAGCAATGATTTATGCTTAAAATGTCACAAGAGAGGACACTGGAAGAGATTGTTCAGAAAGTGTTGAGTATGTTCAGAGAAAGACTAACAAAGTAGCAATGGATAATTGTAATGTTAACAGCAGGTTAGAATTAACACTTGATTTTTGTGAAGAACACATGGCTTCACTCAGTCTGGGAAAGCTGAGTGATTTAAAAAACATTTTAGATGTGCAGGGAAAAATGTTGAAACAGCAAAAGAAGTTTCTAGATGCATGTATTAAGATTAAACAATGCAAAGAAGTCATGAACGAGTCAACACTAATGTTTTCTTCTGTTTCTGAGTCCATCACAGCCAGTCAAAGAGAGAGACTTGGGGGCAGATTGTCTGGTCCTTCCCAGCCACAGCCAGTGCCTCACTCCACTCCAACCAGGAAGACAGGTCTGGGAGCAGAGTACATCCAGATGGGGAGAAGGGAGCGAAGCAGTGGCAAAAAGAAGCAAGGCTGCTTTAATTGAGGTTCTTTTGACCATTGGACACGTGCATGTGTTTCAAATTATCATGGTATAAGACCAGAGCTCTTTGTCCATTCCTTGGTCACTCTGCTGCTACATCTAGCTGACCCAGACTGGTGCAGTCTGTAAAACTTGTCTGTTTGTGCTGATGTCTAGATAACCTGTAGTTTTGAACCAGCGGCTGACAACATGTATTAAAGAGATTATGTTGTTGAAATGTGACTAGTTATTCACAACTACACAGGGTGGCTTTAAGTTAAATTATAACAACTCACCATTTGCTAAAGTCGATTTGTAAGGAGTGGTCCACAATAAGGTCTGTGTGACATTTGGGGTTCACAAGGCTTGGGTCCACACCGTGTTTTGCCACAGCATCTCTCATGGCCGCCAGATCCACCATGGCCGGAATACCACTATCAGAACAAGAAAGGATTATTACTGGATTCCTGTGGTTCAGAAAAAAGACTTTAAAGAAGCTCTGCCTGTGTTCTTGTCTCTCCATAGTCTCACATATGTTAGTATAAATCAACGGCCTACTTAAGTCGACAAGATGGAGTACCGTTTAAAACAACAGATTGTGTCAAACAGAGTGTCAAAATTCATTCAAACTCCCTGCCACTAGAGACATGTCAGACTACTTTCCTGGTCCAGAAATGTTTTATCCTTTTATACAAAATATTCAAGCAATAGCACTTTGAATCAGTGCGGAAATCATAGCGAAGAAAGTGTGGCTGCGGGGCAGCATGCAAGTGTAATCCATGGATCTATAATACCATGGGCACAGGGGGTGCCCGTGGTACTGCAGACTAAATTCACGTGGGCTACCCAGAATGATGTCCCATAGAACCCAATGTAAACTAAAACAAGCTCGACCTCAGCTGACAGAGAACCTACAGCTTTCATAAAGGTCGAATTTTGTGGGAATATTACTGTCCCTTGTCGTCCTGAACTTTTTTTCTTCTTTAATCCTTCAGTTTTCTTTAAATCCACTTTCTAATGCAACAAACTCTGCTTCTTTTCTTCCCGCTCTGATCAGCAGCTCTGATTGGTCAAAGCGTGGCCGTGCCCCTCTGTGCACGTGCATGAGAGCCACACACGTGGATTTGGTGCAACGCATCATGGGAGCTCGTTCACAGAGAAGAACCGGGAGGACCAGACAATGCCCAAATATGGGTGAGTTCCGCTAATCTTTTGGCCCCAATGGCTGCCCCATGCGCTCCTGAGCATAAGCCATTGATTTGAAGAGGAGGCCATCTTGGATCACCAGGGGTTGGTGTAATCCCCCACCAAGCACAAACTCTGGAAACTTTGTCCAGGATCAGTGGTGGGAACAAAGAAGTTAGGAGGCATGGTGGTTAGAAGGGAACAAGGCTGGAAGGATCCTTGTTCCAGCCTTGTTCTCCGCTGCAGCCTCCGCTCCTTGTTCTTCCCATGAATGTATTATGGTGCCTCCCCATAATTACGGGGACAATAATGTGATGGAAAAGCCTTTGTCTTGTGTATGTGAGGCGAGAGAGTCGCAGTGCCACTCAGCAAGCCATCTTCAGAACTGTCACCAGCCTTGGTGACATGTCATTTTTCAGCTGATGTTAGTTCCTGAGTAGGCGTGGTCACCTGATTGACCTGACAGGTTGCTCAGACTGACCACGTCCCCTCTCACTCTGTGTCTCTGGAGGAGTGTGTCCCATGTGTGGGACAGGAGGAAAGCTCCCTCATCTCGGTTGATGCTGTTGTTGCCCCGCTTCCTGATTTCAATGGCCTTTGTATTTGTTCTTTTCGGATCCGATGACCGGTGCCCTGTCCCAGTCCATAATGTGGTTATTTCTCTTGCAGGGATCTGAAATGGTTGATTTGAGGTTTTCCTGATTTTCTTGTTCCTTTCTGGCCCGAGAGAGTCTCTCTTGTCTCTTTTTCACAGTCCTTCTGATGTTCCTTCTTTCGCGTGTGTGGAATGCCCTCCCCATTTCTCCTATGTCTGATTTGGACACGACTTGCATTGTATTTCATATATTGTACTGTATACTGTACTGATATTGTATTTCTTCATGGCTCTTTGGATGGGTTCAGTTATGCCTCTGATGTATGGTAATGTAACTGTATTGCCGTGCTCCTGCTGGTCTCTAAGGGTGGTGGTCGTTTTTTTCTTGTGTTTTTGAGTTTTATCCTTCACCTGTTGTCTCCCTGTTGCTATTGCCCAATTTGGGTACTGACATTCTTTGAGTGCTTGAACGATGCGTCTTTCCTTCTCCTCTGTTCTAGTTACTGTATCTGTGATAAATGTGGTCCGTTCAAAAAGTGGTCTTACGACTAAAAGCTTGTGCGTTGTGGGGTGTTCCGATGTCCAAATTAAATATTGATCTGTGTGAGTGGGTTTACGGTATACTTTTATTTTGACGTGGTGTATTTAAATGTCAGAAATAGCAGAAAAAAATAGCAGAAATGATATGGTCTTGTTTTTTTCCTCCTCATAAGTGAATTGATATCACCGATGCTCTCTTGCGCGTTGAGGTGGTCTGTGAGTGCTTGAGAATGTCCGTATCGTATTTTTTCCAGAATGTGGTCTATGTAGAGTTTCCAAAAAGATAATCTGCATTGCGGGAGTGCTGTGTTTTATGCTTTTTGTTCCAAGTTCTCTATATAAAAACTGCTGACGATTGCAGATGAGGGATCTCCCATCGCAAAACCTTCTTTCTGTCTGTATATTATGTTATTGTGCTGGAAGTATGTAGATTTGGCAACAAAATGTAATAACTGTGTGATGTCTTCCATTGTTAAGTTTGAGCGCTTTTTAAAGTTTTGTCCTTTTTTAGTTTATCTTGCGCAATGTGTAGTGTGATGTCAACTGGTGTTTTGGTGGAGAGCAAAATTCCGTTGTGTGATATTAATATTTCATCCGGCTCCCTGGATTCCTTAACTCCTTGTACTAGTTATTTTTAGTTTTTGCAATGTTCTGTTTGACCAATGAGGGGTTTGAAATCCAAGAGTGCTTTGGAAAGGTTGTATGTGACTGAACCTATACTATCGACTATGGGGCGGAGTGGTGTGTCCTTTTTATGGATTTTTGGTGTCTATTGTATGCGTGCTGTGGTGCTGGCGTGGTAAGTCTGAGCGACCTGCCAGGTCAATCAGGCTGACTACGCCTACTCAGGAAGTAACATCAGCTGATAAATGACACACATGTCACCAAGGCTGGTGACAGTTCTGATGTTTTACCCGAAACAGGTAAAACATCTAAACTTCAAACTTCAAAAGAATCAAAAAACATTTTAACTCAAGACAAAATTAACCTTTTTGAATTTGTATGGTACTATGCGAGTTATGTTTGTGTGTCTTAGTGATTTTTATGTCAATCAGTTAAAAAATATACAAAAATTTCATGAAAATTATAAAAATCCACCATTGCCACCGCTGTATGACGTTAATTGAATGCCTACATAAACTTCTAGTTTCAGCACTCTCCTCAAATGGAGAGTGCTGAGTAGAGGAGTTTACTTTTCAATGTAAGTCAGGCCCTGTTTATACTGAGACGCTGCGCAGACGTTTCCAGGCTATTAACAGAAACGACCTGGCTCCTAATGCAAATTTCTCAGCGTTCACATGAGGTTGAAAAACGATGTAGTTCTAGCGCCCGGCCAGTAGTGGGCAGATAAACTTTACAACACGACACACGACCCCGAGCCCCGTGCCCAGCCCCCCTCTCGGCAGTATACTCACTTCCTGTACCAGACCCTCAGAACGCACCAACATCTATCTGCATTTTAACAGCAGCTGTGAAAATGGAAACTGAACCTAGAGCTTCGCGTGGTCTCGTTTGGACGAACGAAGGAGTAGAATTATCCTCTGTCCCGCGCTGGAAGCCCACGTAGCTAGTTAGTGTGGGCAGCGCCATTGTTGTTGATGTTTGTTCTCCGCTACTGCGCATGTCCAAATTTACGTGCGGGGAGCAGCGCGGAGGTGGGGGTCAGAGCAGAGGGGGATTTCACACCTTTTCCCCTCTCGCGGGTGTGAAAAAGCTCCCTGCTGTGCAGCGTATCTGAGTTGTCCCACTCTGCAGGCTGGATCTGAACACTTACGTTTTCACCCCCCTGGAACACAGTCTTCGTATGAACGGTTGGTAGCAACCGACATCCAACTATACCGTTTTACTGCCACATTGTCTCCGTGTAAACTCAGCCTCAATCTCTCCATGTAATTTGATAAGTAAAAGAAAAATGATGTGCGGTACAAATACATGTGACTGGACTGTACAGTCTTTCAGGTAAATCCTGACAACAAACTCACGTGAAATCCTGCAGCAGGACTCGGGCTGGAGAAAAGGGCACCTCTGCTCTGCTCTGCTGCTGTTGCCAGTCCAGAATGTTCTTCACATCCTCCTCTTTTGTGTAAAATCCATCACAGTTTCTGATCGCAGACTCCAGTAAGACACGGATAGACAGAGGCAGCTTGTCTGAGAACATACAAAACATGATAAATAAGGCTGCAACGCCCAATGTAAGATACAAGAATTTGTCCAAAACAGTTTTCCTGCCATTAGACCATATACTAGGAGTGGACTGACCCGAGTTCTGACATCAACGTAGAACATAATGCGGAAAAGGCCGATTTGGACATACGCTAACTGGAGCCAGTTCGTTAAATGAGCATTTGTTATGCCTGTTGACAGAGTTTGCTTTGCATCGTAGCAGGGGCTTGTGTTGCTAAGACAGTTGCTAAGGCAAACTGGACTTTCCTTGCGAAGGAAGGCATCTGATCGTAAATCTAGATATCAGCCATAAAGTTTGACCAATGACAATATCAAAATAGAGAGACCAGGATAACAGATAGTGAAATGGTGAGTATGACACAAACAGTTACTGAGCAAGAAGTTTACTTTTCAATGTAAGTCAAGAGGAGCCAGAGTTTGTCTGTAAGCACTACCCTATTGGGCTTCATTGAGCTACTGGGTTAAAATTGTCCATCTATATACAGTCTATTTCTATTAACTTACATTGAAAAGTTTGACATACTTATATATATCCTTTGATCTATAATTGCTATGGCTGTCATTCATACAAATCAGTGTTGTCAATAGATTTTCAAGTTACATGACAAGTTGAAGAATTATAGAATATAGGAAAAGTACTGTATATATTTTAGAATAGAACTTCTTAGTGTGAGGAAAAGACTCACCATATCTAACATCGTTTAGTTTCTGTGGGTTGAAGAACTTGACGGTTCCATCTTTTATTGTGTCAATCAGATGGAAATACGGGTGTTCTGCAGAAAGAAACAGCATTTTATTGAAAGAAAACATTAGATTCCTGAGATCCTTGCATCATCTATCTATCCCTCTTTAACTATACATAAAATACACTCAAAAACTGAGCTTAAACCACAACAATACCTCGGCTTCATCCAGGCACATTCACCAGAGCGCAGCCCCGATCAGCAATCTAGAAATGGACGGCCCCCATCTAAAATCTGTTACAACTCTTCCGTACCAGTGGTAACGTACCACGTAACATCCTTAAGGCGCGTTCAGACCAAAAGCTTCAAAAAGCTTTTGACGCGCTTCAACTGACGTCGGGATAGTTTTGTCATTTTGGTGCTTGAAGCTTTTGACGCGAGTGACGCGCCTGACGCGCCAGATGCCGGTGGGAAGAGCTTCTCTGTTGCCTGTAGTCAGGACAGCGGTGGATTTTTCAGTGAGCAGCGAGCCTTTATTTGTTATATAAAGCCAAATAACGTTGTCGTAGGGCTTCAACAAAACATGTTCTGGGTTCACCACAGACTTGAGAGGCTGCAGTGTTTGCAGAGTTTCGTCATTTACTCCAGGAGCTCCGTACGGAGGAGTTTCGCTTTCAGCGGTACTTCCGCATGTCACTCGCCCAGTCTGTGTTAAGCTTGTTCTTATATTAAATAAATTACGTTTACTACACAGCATGTGTACAATGATTTTTGTTACTCACTTATTAAGAACGTTACTACTCATACAAATAATATTACTAATAACAATACTGACAATAAAACAGCAGCAGCTACATGACTTCTCTCCATGACAGAGACAGACCCACAGCTGCTGCTGCTGCTCCTTGTCTCCTGATTGGTTGAAGCCTGCGTCAAAGCTTCAAAAGCTCAGCTTTTCTCAACTTCGGCGTCAAAGGGATTGTTTTGATACGCAAGCGTTACGCGCATCAAAAGCTTCAAGTGAGCGCGTATTACTCGCGACTTTTGAAGCTTTTGACGCGCGCCAAGTGACGCTGGGGCTCTTGCCTTCACCTGACGCGCTTCACCATTCACTTTCAATGCAAACCCGACGCTTTTGAAGTCGAAGTTAAGCCCGTTCTGAACGTGCCTTTACGGTTATTCTACCGCAGGCTTTTATAACCGTGATCATCGTAAAACTGGTTAATCTCGGAAACCCTACTCCACACTCTCCCAAGGTGCAAGGTGCACACCTCATGACACTTTGAAGCAACTGTTCTAACAATATGCACAAGGCAGTACTTTTTCACTGCATGTTCTGGTAATCTCAAGGTTGAAACTACTGGCACCATGGCAAAAGCTGATTGGAGGTCTCCATTCCCCGAATGCTGTATAATATCACTTGCATTCTGTAATATATTTGTTCGTGCTGTCTAGGCAAGGCAAGGCAAGGCAAGGCAAGGCAAGTTTATTTGTATAGAACAATTCATACACAAGGCAACTCAAAGTGCTGAACAAGATAGCATTAAAATCATAAATAATCACAGAACATTAAAACGAAAGATAAAAATATAAAATCCCTCAGTTGTATGCACAGCTAAAAGGGCACCGTTTTTAACTTGGTTTTAAACATTGTCAGAGAGGAGGCCTGTCTCACATCTTCAGGAAGATTGTTCCAGATTTTAGCAGCATGAATCTGAAAAGCAGCCTCCCCATGTTTAGTTCTGACTCTGGGCACTAACAGGAGTCCAGTCCCTGTGCTCCTCAGAGTCCGGGCTGGTTCATATGGGACTAACATGTCACTAATATATTTTGGTGCGAGGCCATGGAGAGACTTGTACACAAGCAGAGCTGTTTTAAAGTCTATTCTCTGAGCCACAGGAAGCCAGTGCAGGGACCTGAGGACTGGACTAATGTGGTCGTACTTCCTGGTTCTAGTCAGGACTCGAGCTGCTGCATTTTGAATGTACTGCAGCTGTTTTACAGCCTGTTTGGAGAGACCTGTGAGCAGGCCATTGCAGTAGTCTAACCTACTGGAGACAAATGCATGGATAAGAATCTCCAAGTCTGCTTTAGACACTATGTTTTTGATCCTGGCAATGTTTTTTAGATGGTAAAAAGCTGCTGATGTTACTGATTTGATGTGGCTATTAAAAAGTCTACCATCGACAATAAAACATGTCTGAATTAAAGACACGATCTCCAGACTTTTTCATTTTAGTTTAGTTTAGTTTAGTCTTTATTTGAAGGGACAGTGTACAGAGACATTAAGCTCAAAGACAGATATGTTCTGCACCAGATTATGGCCAAACAGCTAGTTTCCATCTGCAGTCCCTGGTTACATCAACAAAATACATGGATACAGTAATGTACAATCCTAAAAAATAACATTGCAAAACAATGCACTCTCTCTGATACAGACAAACTTTTAGCCTTACACCTATTTGTTAAAAATGTCACAAGTCACAACCAAATATTCAGATGATACATTAACACATTCAGTACATTTCTCATCATACATAAATCACATACATCAGTTTCTAATCATACATAGATCACATACATCAGTCATCCTGTGCCTCAGAGCACACCTCAGGGTTCGTGTGAGCAGCTTTGATTGCTCCATAACCATTGTTTAAGCTCTACTGTAAATGTTGGATAGTCTGTTTGACTCTTCAGGTCTGTAGTGAGCTCGTTCCATTCCTTTATATGAAAATGCTGATTGTGCAAAAGCAGTTTTACACCTGGGTATGCTGCACTGCCCCCTGGTGGAGGCTTGTGTGGTTCTATTTGTCGCAGAAGATGTGAACTGAACAAAGTGTTTGAGTGGAGCTGGTGCGGTGTTATTTAATATTCTGTGTGCCAATCGTATGGATGCAAATCTTTGAATATTGTCAAAATGTAAAAGTTTATATTTTTGAAGAACTAAACAGGTCGAGGTTTCCGGTCGAGGATCTTAAGTGACTGTGCAGAGTTTCCAATGACCTCAGATTGGTTTTATTTGCCTGGGACCAACAGGTTATACAATAATAAAAACGAGACATGATCATTGCATTAAAATAAGTTTGGGCTCCCTCCAGTGTTAGTGAGTTCCTGATACATTTGAAAGTTTTTATAGTGTATTTGAGGCTAAGGCTCATCTGTTTGATATGTTTTTGAAGCTGAGGGTGAGATCTAAAATTACACCCAGGTAACGATATTCATTCACAAATTTGTACCATCTCCCCTTTTACGGTTATGTTTGGAAACAAGGTTGTTTTGTTTTTATTTACAAAGTACATTGTTGCCGTTTTACTGATGTTTAATGTGAGACAGGAATCATGTAGCCATGTTGCAACCTTCTCCATTGCTAGTCAGTTTATTGGCTACTGTTTACCATGTATAAATGACCGTATCATCTGCATACATCTGGATTTTGACATCCTCACATACAGATGGCAGATCATTTATATACAGTGAGAAGAGCAGAGGGCCGATGTTGGAGCCTTGTGGTACCCCAATATCAGTAGCACTGATGTTGGATGTGGTGTTACTGATACGCACACATTGACTCCGGCCAGATAGTTAAGACTTAATCCAGGCCAGAATATACAGACAGTTTGAATTTTGTTAATTTTGTAAGTAATGTGGGGTGTCAAATGCTTTGCGAAGGTCTAAGAATATTGCTCCTACTACTCCTCCATTATCAAGCTTTTGTTTTATTGTTTCAATGAGAAGGCAGCATGCTGTTTCAGTCAAGTGCTTTACTCGAAAATGGGATGTAATAGGCCTTCATCCTCCAGATGTTGTGTGAGCTGTTCAACTACTACCTTTTCTGTTGCTTTTGATATAACGGGAAGGATACTAATTGGTCTGTAATTGTTGGCGTCTTTTTTATTTCCTCCTTTGTGTATTGGAGTGATAGTGGCTGTTTTAGGTGTGACAGGGAATGTGTTCTCAGTTATAGATTGATTTATCAGTCTTGTTATTGGAGCAGTGAGGGTATCTTTTGCCGCTTTTCCACAGTATCAGTACGGTACAGTACAGTACGCTTCAGCACGGTTATTTTGCGTTTCCACTAGTGGATGGTATGGGAGATTTGAGTACTTTTCCGTACTGCCTCAGCCGTGGTTCCATCCCCATAGTACCCGTGCCATGACGTCACGTCGGCCCACTGCCTTACACTGATTGGTCAACGAGTGTCGTCACTGGAAGCGACATCTGACCCTTTGGGAAAAACAACTCAACAGCCATCTTTAAAACAGGCTGCTCTGCTCGGCTCTGTTTTGGCTACATTACGTCCTCCTCACTCCAGAGAAATAGAATTGCACAGAAAGCCCCAAAAGTCCTGGTCCTGGTCGGTGGACGAGGTCCACACGTTCCTCTCTTCAGGCCAAAGAAAGAATTCAAAGGCAGCTCGAGGCTCAACACAGTTTTCAGGGAGATCACCCAGCTCTGGATTTGTGACTAGTCTGTGGTAATCCTGAAATAACTGGTTAGCTACGAATCCCGTTAAAGCTCTCACTGAAATGTATTTTCTAGAGATGCACCGATCCAGCTTTTTTACTACCGATACCGATACCAGAGCTATGGGTATCTGCCGATAGCGATATTGACCGATACCGGAAATGATCATGCTAAAATGTATATAATAATTGAACTCTTTCTTCAAGCAAAAGCAGTGGATGAACTAAAGCGCTAAACATTCCAGATAAAAATGGATTCAACATAAATGTGCAATAGTGCATCTATAAAGAGCTGCTAACTGTTCACATTAAACATTCCAACACTGTATTATACCTTATACATTTATTGAATATAAATGTACTTATATTAACTGTGTTTGAATAAAAAAACACTTACAACAAACAAAACACGCTGCATGAAAATGTAAATAAATAATAGTACCGTAGCTTTAACTGAATTTCAGATATGTATTTGGGGACGGCATGTACCTGGGTTCCAAATGGTCCATGGGGCTGCGAGCCCAAACTGATGAACTCCAACACTTTCGGGTTGTTGCTGAAAAGATTTTTGTGACGCTGCGTCAGTATCATCTGTGTCTCGTTGTTTTCACGTAATCTCCTTTCGATGCAAAAACTCCCCATGCTGTTTCTCGTTGTGCTTATTCGTGTTGTATTTCGCTAGTTTACCGCCGCGTGAACAACGCTGATTCTTTCTTGCGCTCCATGCTGTGTTGTTGTTGTTGTAGAGCGCCACGAGGAAGTGACGTGTACGTGAGATCTGATAAATTACTTTTAATTAATTCATTTTATAGTTATACGTATATGTACATTATGCACAATGTATTTTAAGACATTGTGCGGTACCTGGTATGTATTAAAAAATATATATAATTTTTTTTTTTTTAAAGAAAAGAAAATGGATCGGCAGCACGGCGCCTCTCTCTACGCAGATATCCGATCCAGTATTTTTTCTGGTATTTGGAAACAATTTGGACTAAATTGGATTGCTGAATTGGACACTAAAGCTGGAAACGTGTGATTGAAAGTTGAATTACACCTGAGAACACATTCTCTAAATTTACGCACACAGAAGAAGAGTGTATTCTAAAGAACATGAGGCCCTCTACCTGCACACTGGACACTATGCTCACACCATTAATCAAAGCAACTGCCACAACCATTAGTCTGCTAATAACTACAATCATAAATACACAGGTCAGGTCCCCCATCCCTTGAAACTGCCTTAATCCACCCCCATCTGAAGATGGATTAAGGCAGATCGGTGCGATCCATCGGCTGAAAATGGGTATTGGCCGATGTTTGCCTTGTTAAAAGGAGCTATACCAGTTTCTGCAAGGTTTTTTACAGTTTGAATGTTTAGCGCCGCCCCCCAACTCGCTCACAGGCTTCTCACTTTGAGAAACCCTCCTACTCTCCCCTTTGCTCTCCTCCCATGGAGCCATCTAGTTTTGTTAGCTATCTAATACCTATGCAAATACTAGCATTAGCGCAATTTCTTAAAAGCTGTACAACTAGGGATGTGAAAAACTATGAATTTTCATGACCGACCACTAGGGCTGGGCGATTAATCGATTTTAATCATTAATTCGAGTTTTACGTTTAGGGCGATTTCTTTTTTTAAAAATTCGATTTTTATTTTCTCCAGCGCAGAACTACAGCGCTAACGCGCTAACCGCGGGTCTATGGTGTTGAGCAGTCATTTTGAAGCTAACCTAATGCTAACAGTCTCCCTCTGGCCTGATGCTCGCTCTCACAGTTGGTGCTGTTGCAATAACACTTCAAACGTTCAAGAATCAGACTTTATTTAATCGCCAAAACACACACACACAGGCTCCGGTCGTACGCCACATCTTTCACGCTCTCTCACGCTCGTTATTCCAAAGCGCACTCCCGTGTCCGTGGCGCGCACACACTCGTGTCCCACTGAGCCGCTGCACTTTGGGGAAAGACACGTCTCACACATTGCTCTCATTGCTCTGATACAAACAACGTGTTCCCCGCTGTCTGTTAGCTACAGTAGCTGCTACAGTAGCTGTTAGCTACAGCATCAGAATGTAAACAGGAAGCTCGCACAGTCACTGAAGTTAGTATTAGCGCCACCAGCTGGACCGAGCGTTGTACTACAGCACAGTTACTCAGGCACAGTTGAAAGAACAAGCATGAAAACCCGAGGAGGCTTTTGGAAAAGACTGTCTGTTACAACATTTCTATTTTGAGTAATCAGTTTTAAAAATGTGATATTTCATGTAAATAATGCATGTGTTTAATAGGATTGATATATTTGCGATGGGCCTTGTTTGTGTGATTTAAGTTATTTTGAAGGTGCATAGTGTCATTGTAAGTGAAGTTATTATAAAACTGTTGAGCTACATTTTCACTGTTTACAATGGCAGAGCCATCTCGTTTACAAGCATGTTTTAAGGCTTAATTCCTGTTACACTTATGCTCCATGGGGATTTAGATTAAACTGCATAAAGGAAAATCTATTTCTTTGTCAGTTGTAGTTTGTTTTTAAATAGAAAAAAATAAATCGATTAAAATCGAAAATCGGATTTGGTGTGAAAAAATCGGAGATTTTTTTTTTTTGCCATATCGCCCAGCCCTACCGACCACCGAGCCTCATTAACCGGTTAACCGCGTAGTTAAAAATACTCCACGTTCTTTGAAATAACAGCCCTTTCGAGCAGCGTACTTCTCATAAGTGCAGATATGCGTTCTACTGGATCAGAGCCGAGACAGCGGCGCCAAAACCCGCAACAGCTTCGGCACCTTTGCGCACAAAGAACTGCTTTTTTAATCTTAACACTTTTTAGCAGCAAACAACGGCTCGTCCACATGGTCAGAGGAGCGAGTGACGAGCCACATCTCGCAGGTCTCTGCTAAAGTTTAAAAGTAGGCATGTAACATTTCATCGAAAATCGATTTAAAATCGATTTAAACTGCTTAAAGTATGAATCGATGTAAAAAATAAAAGAATCGGTTCTCAACGGCACGTTCAACAAGCGCCCTCTCATGGCTCTGCTGTAAACAAACGCCTCACGTAAATTAGTTTGTACGCTTGCGCCAGAAGAACTTTACACAAAAAGCCGCTAGTTTAACTCCGTTACGTTAGCATCAAAGCCCGCCACTGCTGCCCAGGACTTCTGGTCTGAACACCCCTGCGTCTGAAAATCAGAGAATGTGCGTCTAGTGTGCGCGGAAGCTGCGTTTCAGCGTTGCCGGTCTGAACGCCCCATTAAGAATAACGATGAGTGAACACTCATGTCAGTCACTTGTCAGTCGCATGGTGTGTGGGGAGGCGGGACTACTGCCGTAAATTATTTCTAAAACAATTTTTTCATATGGCGTATTGAGGAATCTGTTTCATAACTTTGTTTACAAAGGTCCTAGCAGTTTTCTTCCAGTTCATTTTTTGTTAACAAGAGACTGAGAGTCTATTTTATTTATTGTTTTTGGTTGTTTGTTCATTTATTGTGTTCTAGTGTTAAATATTCTTTAAAAATAAAAGTTTATTTTGAAAAGGTGTACCTGAATCATTATCATTGTATTATATGAAATTGATCTCAGAATGACAATATTATCGAGTATCGCAATAATTTCTAAGACAATTTTATCGTCCAGCAAAATTTGTAATTGTGACAGGCCTAGCTGTGGCTGCAGGAAACGCTGTAATGTACGAACATCAAAAATGTCCAGGACTACTTGATCAATCCGTAGCTTAGCTACAGAAACGTTACTTGGTTTTGTAATAGCCACGCTACGTGAAGCTTCTGAAAAATTAACGAGTAGCGTCGCTACAAGTAGTTTAGCTACTGCTCATCACTGATTATTAAATATAACTAGAAGAACAAGTCTCTCCATGGCCTCGCACCAAAATGAGGAGCACAGGGATTGGCCTCCTGCTGGTATTCTGAGCAGGAGGCCACATGAGGAACATGGGGAGGTAGCGTTTCAGATTTATGCAGCTAAAATCTGAAAGTCTTCCTGAATATGTGAGACAGGCTTCTACTCTGACAATGTTCAAATCCAGGTTAAAACAGTTCTGTTTAGCTGTGCATACACAACTGAAGGAATGTATCTCCACTCTTTTTAACATAATGCGATTAATCATCACACAAAGTACCTTTTTTTTAGCTAATGTATTCCAGTGTGGTTTTTATACTGCACATGGCAAATAAAATTAATCTGAATCTGAATTATGATTTAAATCCCTTGTGTGGTTGTTTCTATCATGTTGTGGGCACTTTAAGTTGCCCTTTGTATGAACTGTGCTATACTACAATATAATATAATATAAACAGCTTTTCATGAAATCAGAAAATGAAATTGGTAAACAAAGTTAGTCAAATTGAAGGTTGACAGAGCAACAGAAATAACAAGTCTACAGTATGAACCCCACAGACAGGACTTCTGCTTCAGCATCTTCAACACAGATGTACCAGCATCTGTGATGTGGAAATGTTCCCATTGATGGCTCTGATACAAATTTTAGCTGATTAAAACTAATCAATTGTGTATTGAATTTAGCAGTATTAAACATAATTAAACCTGGAGCCACTTTGAAATCACACAAAATCGGTCTGCGCTCTCAAAATTCTTGTTTCTTGTTAAATCAAGACATAAGAAGGAAATATCATGACAGAGTATATAATTCACTATCAAAATATTACTGGGAAAAACTTGTACCATGTATTTTTACCCATTGTCACATAGATCAGCTTTTTCAGACACAATTAGCCAATTAGCCCTCAGCCCAAGGTGTCAAGTAATGGATTACAGGGCCCTTTCTTAAACAAATGAAAACATGTTTTCTAATAACATTAGGACAGCAGGACTGAGGGCCTGCGACCACATCACAGCAGAAGCTGTATTCGTCTGTCTCTCGCTCCATCCTTCCCTCTATCGTGATTAGCACTATCACGCTGTCCCATCCATTTACTATTCTCACAACAGTAATTAACAAACAAAGAATAACGCAAACGTATCAGACAAAAGCTCAAAATATGAAGTATTTTAACTGTTTTTAAAATCAGCTCAATCTCGTATTGACATACTATACTCAATAACATTAAAAGAATATCTTATCTCATATATATTATCTTTCTAAAATGATCAACCCACCTATAGAACATAACTAGAATGAGTGTATGATTGTTTCAAATTAACACTTTCATGTCAAGAAAAATATGTAATAGGCAATATTATAAGACAGGTCACCCTTTATATCAGTCCTGTCTTATCGATGCTAGCAGCCACCGAAAAACTCTCCTTATCTCCTGAAGACGTCCCGTAGTGACTAGATAAAGACATTTTCGCATATGAAACGCACTGTGAGTTTTTCTATACGTAATTATTGTTGCTGAAAATACAATGACCGCCAATGCAATAGTGTAATGACGATATTATTACGCCTTTCTCGTTTAAAGGGAGATAAGAGAGGCTAGCTAGCTCGGATACCCTCATGTGAATCAAAGATTACGCGGTTTTTTACACATTTTGAAGTTTAAAACAGTCTTGTTTCTGCTCTAATGTTGTCAGGTATTATGTTTCTTGAATCTGTGCAGTTTAAACACGTGGGAAAGCTGTGTTTTATCTTTACCTTTACCCGGGGACGAATGCGCCATGATGCCTTCTGAGATGAACACCGACCCGTTCTGACGAGAGTATGCATGGGACAAGGAAGTGACCAATCAGAGCGCAGAGATCTGAGCTATCCCGCCCTTCTGTCCGAAACTGACCAATTGTGAGTGAGAAAATGCGTCGTATTACGGTGCTGTAAAAAAAAAAAAAAATCATTAATTCAATAACACAATGTAGATACAATATTTCGTATGGTGCTTTATTTGTGTTCATGTTGGTCTACAATTCGTCATTACAATGTTTTTATTTATGTATAGACCTTTATTTTAACGTCTAAAGTCTCACTGACCATCTCTTTTTCAAGGGTCCCAGACAGGGGGTGGGGGCAGTCTATACATAGTTCCCACATGACGTCACTACATACGGGGATTTTCCGACCCGGCGCCATTTGTCTTGGCATTCTGTGGGCAAAACAATAGGAAAAGAAGCTGAAACGTGTTAATGTCGTGATAAAGTTGAAAATGGTCATCTCCTGCTGGGTCAATGGATGTTCAAATCGTGCCGGAGGTTCCGTTAAACTTGGATTTTACAGTATACCCATCATTAGACTTCATGAATGTGAGAAGACTAAGCTTTTGTCAGAACAACCACGGAGGTTATGGCTTGCGAAGATAAACAGGCAAGAAACTCCCTCAAAACACGCAAGAATATGCTCGGAGCACTTTGTGTCAGGTGCGTATCGTATCTTATAATGTGTTGACAACGTAATTTACTCAGTACTAACTTGTGTATGCTGATATCTGGTAACTTGAGAGTTTCATTATTTAGCGTTAGATTACTTTATTATGAGGAGGATCGGTGTCGCGTCCGAGGCTCTCGAGGGCAACGTAAATGTATTAAATAGATAATAATAGTTCTATGGTGGGCTAAAACAATGTTCACAAACAGCATTGCTTCTGTAAAAAGATCTGTGTCATAAAATAAACTGCTCTTTACGCCTGGAAAAATCAGTTGCCCACCATTCACCAAAACATACGGTCAAAAACGCGGAAATAAACAATAACAGCAATCCAGAGTGTCCGTGTGGCATTAGCATTAATTAAATTAATTGTTAATATAATTAAAATAATTAAATGGAGCTCCAACTGGTATTAAATCTAAAGTTTTTGAGAAATGTTTGCATTGCTTGTTAATTTTTGCTGCATAATTTGATCAAATATGTAAAACATGTCCGTAGCACGTTAAACTGTGGTGCCATTGTATTAATATACAATTATTTGCTCAAAAGTTGCCCTTTTTTTCCAATTTGCGTTTGAATATCTACATTTATTCTCATTCTTCTGTTTAATGGAATGCACAAACACAGCAGCGTGCCATCAAAGATGGCGTCTCCGAGGAGGTCATGTGACATTCATTGGTCTGTGGGAACTATGTATTGTTTAAAGGTCCAGAGGTGGTAGGGGAAACCGGGGCACCCAGAGGAAACCTGAAAAAAAAAATAAGAAAAATTAAGATACGGTTTGTGAAGAAAATGTGAAATTATGTTTAAACGTTATTATTATAGATCCATGGTTGAAACACAGGAAGAAGAGCTGATCTGTAGACGACGCCATTAACCTGGCCCTCCACCACCGTCCTGTTCGTGGACTTCAGCTCTGCTTTCTACACCATCCTACCATCCCTGCTCCAGGACAAGCTCTCCCAGCTCAACGTGCCCGATTCTACCTGCAGGTGGATCACTGACTTCCTGACGGACAGGAAGCAGCGAGTGTGTCTGGGGAAGAATGTCTCGGACTCTCGGATTATAAATAGGAGCCCCACAGGGTTGTGTTCTTTCTCCCCTGCTCTTCTCCCTGTGCACCAACCACTGCACCTCCAGCCATGACTCTGTGAAGCTGATCAAGTTCGCGGACGACACCACCCTCATTGGACTCATCTCCAACAACGATGGGTCCGCCTACAGGAGGGAGGTGGACCGGCTGGTGTCCTGGTGCAGTGGTAACAACCTGGAGCTGAACGCTCCAGGTTGGAGAGTGGAGTGGAGATGATTGTGGATTTCAGGTAGAGTAGACTGTGCTCTACCTGAAGTAGAGCACAGTCCCCCCGCCCCCACCCTCCCTGATGAACTCCCCCATCACCTCTGTGGAGTCATTTCATTTCCTCGGCACCACCATCACCCAGGACTCAAGTGGGAGCCGACCATCAGCTTCCTCATCAAGAAGGCCCAGCAGAGGATGTACTTCCTGCGGCAGCTCAGGAAAGCCAAGCTGCCTGCACAGATGTTGGTGCAGTTCTACACGGCCATCATCGGGTCTCACCTCCTCCATCACCGTTTGGTTTGCTGGAGCAACAGTCAGGGACAAACAGAGGCTACAGCGCATCGTGAACTCTACAGAGAAGGTGATCGGCCGCAGCCTCCCATCGCTGCAGGACCTGTACATCGCCCGAGCTCGAGGTCGGGCTGGTCGTATCACAGCCGACCCCTCTCACCCTGCACATGGACTATTCCAAACACTCCCCTCAGGCAGGAGGCTGCGGTCCATCAGGACTAGAACAGTTTCTTCCCCTCTGCTGTTGGAATCTTGAACACTTCATAACATGTCCCCCCGCCCTCTAGAAGTCCCCTACTGCTCTTTATATTGTAACTTTACTGCCCTTTATAAAGTCACTTTACTGTCCCATCATACGTCACTTGACTTTACTGTACCGCTGTCACCTTACATTGTGTGCACCATGTGCACTTGTGCTGTATATTGTATATAGTAATTGTAACTCTATTTTAAATGTATTCCTTAGAAGTGCTTTTTATTCTTTATTTTTTATTATGCCTTCTCTACCCTTACCTCTCTAGAGTTCTAGAATGTATGCCATCACAGTGGGACAGAAGCCACTTTCATAATAATAATAATAATAATGCATTGGTTTTATATAGTGCTTTTTTGGACACTCAAAGACGCTTCACATTCTTTCACTCCATACACTTTCATGCGATCTTGGAAACTAATATGTAATATTTCGACTTCCAAAATCAGAGCTTTCATGAGGAGCTGGTAACGCTGATGACACACACGCACATACAAGAACACACACATACAAGTCATACACTGTGGGTTGTGTGGTCCTCTGTGTTTGATGGGGTTTTTTTAATCAAATAAGCAAATAATTATAATGCATCGGTTTTAAATAGCACTTTTTTGGACACTCAGAGACGCTTCACAGGTCATTATTAATGTCATTATTCATTCACACCATACACAGTGATAAACTACTACTGTAGTCACAGCTGCCCTGGGGCACACTGACAGAAGCGAGGCAACCAGTATCTGCCATAGGCCCCTCCGACCACCACCAATCATTCACATTGGTGGTCGTTAGACAGAGTTAAACCCAGAAACTTGCACTCCTCTACGATCTGAACCTGGGAGTTGTCGATTACGACAGGCAAATGAGAACTATTGCGACTGAAGTTGTAGACCAATTCACATGTTTTCGATGCGTTCAACTGGAGGTTGTTAGTTTTACTCCACTGAACCACATTTTGTATCTCTGCTCTATAAGAGGATTCATCATTGTCACTGATGAGACCGATGATGGTGGTGTCATCAGCATATTTGATGATCAAGTTTGAGTCAGCGGAAGACACACAATCGTGAGTGTACAAAGTAAAAAGCAAAGGACTCAAAATACATCCCTGAGGAGAACCAGTGCTCACAGAAACAACATCAGAAAAACAGTCATTGATTTTCACTCTCTGAGATCTGTCAGTTAAAAAGCTAAAAATCCATTTACACATGGCAACATTTAAACCTAGAGACATGAGCTTTTCAATCAGTTTACCTGGGACAAGGCAGTTAAAAGCAGAGCTATAATCAATGAAAAGCATTCTCGCGACAGATTTACTAGTGTCCAAGTGACTGTAGACAGAGTTCAGAGCAAAGGAGATGGCATCCTCCACACTCCTGTTCTGTCTGTAAGCAAACTGGAGCGGGTCAACACTCACAGGGATCTGGCTCCGAATGAAGTCCAGCACAAGCCGCTCAAAAGTTTTCATAAGAACAGACGTGAGGGCCACAGGACGATAGTCATTCAGGCATGTCACAGGAGTTTTCACAGGAGTTTTTTGTGCATACCCGGAGTTTACACCCGTTGGTATTAGCTGGACGGTACATTCAGCATATTACAACATCCAAAAGATGCTGGACACGCAGTCAATGGTCCACCTGGTAATGGTGGCGCTGGTGATAACGGCTCTGATAAAAGTGGACTATGACCGCTGTGCAGCTACGTTTTTGGCAGGAAGAAATTTTTGCTTCATTTTCAAATGTTTGTGAATGCAAGACAACGCCTCCCTAAAGAACCATTAGAGGTGTATGCTGCTGAGGTCACACGATTACTGCTGGAAGCTTTTCCAAAGTATGTAGAGCCAACATTGACTATGGAACGTTTCAGAAGATTTATAGCCGGATTGGACCTCCTTTTAAGGTCAAAATTTCACGAGCATTGCGCAGCTACACTAGAGGAAGCTCTGTCTATTGCATGTAAATGGGAACGTGCTCAAGAGGCTTTAATATATGCAACTGCTCATACATCCAGGGAAGAGCTGGGAGTGGCGTCCTGCAGGTGCGTTATTTTTGTGTGCTTTGGTCAGTCAAGTAGTCCACGTGAGGAGCTCTTGGGAGAGGCGTCCTGGGACTACGAGTGACCTTCGGTCTGTGTCCTCTCACTGTGTGAGGGTCTTGCTCGGGCGGAGCTCCAATCACTCTTCGCTGGCCTGCTGGGAGTACATGTTCCTACGGCCTCCGCGTTGTGTCCCACTAGCGAAGTCCCCTAAGGGACGTAGCACCATGACGTAGAATTAATAGTTACCTAATGTAACTTAAGTTCTACGAATAGGTGCGTAGTCCCTTAGCTACGAGCCCATCAGGCCAGCCCGGCTTGGCAGAGTTCAAGAGGGGGCGCGGCTATGGAGCAGGGGCCTTTATAGAGGAGGGTCGCTAGTGATTGGAGCATTTTTTGTTGATCTCTCTGGCGTCTGTGACCTGGG